TTTATATCAAATTATGTCTTAAAACAACCTTCACTTCTAAAGTGTGTGTGTGTGTGTGTGTGTGTGTGTGTGTGTGTGTTTGTTACCTGTGTGGGAAGCAACGACCAGTTCTGCCTAGAGCGGATCTGTCGGTCCACCAGGTCTCCGTCAGAGATGGAGTCAGCCGTCTTGCTGAGCAGCATCAGGTGGGACTTCAGGTCCCCACTGAGAGAAGAGGCACAAGGTATCACATGAACAGTTCCACATCACTGGCAGTATTTGCTCTGTTTTCTTGTCGAGAATTGCTGCCACTCCTGTGTCTGTGCACTTAATGGAGCAATTAGCTTAGCTTAGCATAGAGAGAATGGAAACAGCTAGCGTCTCTCACCCGGCAGCCTTTGGCCGAACATGCAGGTAGTTCTCTTGGACAAAGAGCGGCGCTAGCGAGTAGTCGTGGAAGAAGAGGTCCGACTTGTCGATGAGGCTCATGTGGGCGGTCTCCTCCCCCGCGGCAAACACCTTCCTACAGACGTCAAACGGCCCCAGTTTCATGTCCTTGCGGGCACTGGCTGCGTCAGACTTGCACTGGTCATATGTCATCACCTTGTCTTTGGCCGACCACATGCTCAGGTTATGGATCACCTGGAGAAAAAAGAAAACAGTGAGCATGGTGAGAGGGTTGCGAGTGAAGACACGTCCTCAGTGTAAATTCACGGGACTTCGTCTTCTTTACCTGTCGGACATCCTGATTGGAGGCTAGGATGATTTCGTTCAGAGCTGGGGGCGGGATCTTGATTCCCTCTTTGAAAGCGAGGGACATCATGGCTCCCTGAAAGATCGAAAGGAAATAGGAAACAGAAGTGATGGGGCGTTAATAGTAAATGATTTCATTTAAGAGCCTACTTTAACTAAAAGTGGGTAACAGACAGACAGCAGTTCTTTGGTTCATTATTAGGAATTGTTTGCATTCAAATTCAATTCATGAGTTTCCCTGCAACTCCATAAACATTCTTTTGTATCATCAGCTGGTTTTCAGCCAATAAACATTTGGTTATTGGCTGAAAACCAGCTGATGATACAAAAGAACCACATGTAGATTTACATGTACTAGTTGGATTCATTCAGCTTCTCTGTGTCTCGTATCCTCAAGCTTTAACCCTAATATCCGGAAAACTGGTCAGATGTGGGACAGTGTGTGTGTGTGTGTGGTTACCTTGATCTGTTCCACTCGCGGCCTCTGGAAGCGCAGATCGAAGCAGTAGTTGGCCAGCGACCTGATCTTCTGGTGGTTACGATCATTGCACATGCAGATGATGGGAATCTTTGAATTTCTGATCAGGCCGATCATCTCCTGCAGGAGGCGAAGGGTCAGAGGTCAGTATCAACGTGACGCATTCAGTCCCCTGCGGCAACAGTAGCTAGGAGCAGTTATCCATGAAATATGCCGATTTTACAGCAATCATTGCTTTGCATGCACTTAGAAACAGCCCAAAATGATACACCAATGCCATCACACATTGAACACATGCACCTGATGTTTTTCTTTAAACATCTGTATTCCTACCTAAAAGTTAAGATCAACCCCTCCCCTCTACACAGACTATCAGAGAAAGGTTTTGTTTTTTTAACCTGTATTCCTCCGCGGTCTTCGTTGCCGGCCATGCCATCAACCTCGTCCATGATCAGGACGTGTCTACTGCTCACTTTCTGAGAGGTGCCTACAAAACACGCATCAACAGTCATATAGACCACAGTATTGAAGGTAATTACGCTTTACTTGCCTCCAAAAGATTCTTGCATCGAGCTATTTGATCACTTTCATTTCAGAAATCTTCATTTGTTCTGCATGAACAGTATGTGAGCACATAGTATTAAAGCATGGGCATCTATATCTAAGGCAAGCTTCTTCTGTTAGCACACTGCATCACAAGATGCTGACAGCGGTCAGTTGGTTTTATAGCAATGCTGTTATGCAACCAAATCAAACTCAGAAGACTTCACTTGTTTTCCCTTTTGAAACCAACAACACTAAAGGCTAAAGTAGGTTCACATGTGTAACAGAAGGAAACATTGTGAAACAAAAAGGACAAGAGGGATCACCTTTGTAGAAGCTCTCGATGCTGGTGTTGTTGAGCGACTCTGCGACGACTTCCTTCAGACTGTTTTTGCTGCGACAGCAGCTTGCGTTCATCTCCACGTAGCCGATGCCCAGCTCCTGCAGGCCGACACACACACACGCACGCACGCACGCACACGCACATGCACGCACACACACACACACAGGAGAGATTGAGACTAGAAACCATTGGTGCAGCAATACTGAAAAACCCACAGACTATTGTGAATACATAGAAAAGCACCCAAAAACATGCCCGTGTGTGTTTTCAGACTGACCTCACAGACGAGAGCTGCTGTGGTGGTCTTCCCCACGCCCGGAGGTCCAGAGAGCAGAGCAGCTTTGTATGCTGATCCGTCATCTCTCCCTCCTCCAAACTTACCAAACCTTGCAGCTGCACAGCAACAAACGGCACAAAGCACACGCTGTTTAACGCGGATACCGTTTTCAGAACCAAAACGAGCCCTGGTGTGTAGTTTTCATCATTACTCTGAATTCTGCTGACACACAAAGAGAGATCAACCGTCTACTACTACCTGCTGGCTTGGAAGAGCCCCCGCTGTGGTGTTTGTTCCAGTTCTGCAGCCAGCGGAGCAGCTTGTTGGCACAGCTCTGGTCTCCCTGTTGACCAATCACAGTCTTCAGAGAGCGCGGGCGGTACTTGTCCACCCACAGCAGACTGACGTCGTCCCCCGTCGCCGATGGGGATGATTTTCCTGACGAGGAAAGGCCGAGCTCCCGGCGGGCTGTGTGACCCGAGCCTCTCCCAGGTGGAGTGGCTCCACCTCTGGTCCTGGCACCGTGGCCTTGTCCCAGGCCGGTCTTTGTCGGGCTCGGAGTGTGAGGGGACCGGGAATTCCCCTTGGAGGGGGAGATCTTCTGAGCTTTGGGGGTGCTCTTCGATGTCTTGCTGGGGGGAGTCCTGGTCTTTGAGGCTTTGCACTAAAGAAAGAAAAAAAAGAAAAAGAAAACAACCCAGATCAGTTACAGCACATCAAATTATACCATGCGTGCATGATGTAATTGAGGTTGAAGATCAACTGAAGTTAAATTGCTTCTTCTGTTAAAACATACAGATTAGTTTGTGATTCCTGTTCCCTTAAAAGAAAAGGTTTTGACATCTTACTTTGTGATAAAGCATGAAATAACGTTTATTTTTATAATTAACACTTGAAATGATGAAGTGGTACAAAAGAGCTGACCTCAGCCTCTGCAGTGATCTCATACTTGGACTTCTTTCCTGGTTTGGTTCTGATCAGCTCCAACAGAGCATCCTCATCTAGGATCTTGGTACCGAAACTCTCCGCCTGAGAACAAAGCCAATTGTACAAACACACTGCATTATTTGACGGGCAGATACAGTAAAGAAAAGAGGCAGGAAGGGAAAGACACAACATGTCAAATTAGTGAGATTGCTTCTTACTTACAGAACCATTTTATAAACAATACACATTCATTACATTTATAACACAACACCTGATTCAGTAGAAACTCCTGATTAACTCTGAATAAGCTAATTATTATGGCCTGTACAATCTACCAGTTATATACCATAATGTATTAAAGCAGAATTTAGACTACTGTTAAGCTCTTTTAAGCTTACTCATCTTCATATGGTTATAAAGTCATCCAAGAACCATGCAAGTCAGCATCAGAGCTCTCCGCCATCACACACATATTCTTAAGGACATGCTTCTCTGGGTCTGACTTTGTTAGTCCGGATCAGGTCACCTTCTTGAGCTTGGAGACTCCGCTGTCTCTGCCCTGCACCAGGTAGGTGGTCTTCTTGCTGATGTTGCCCGTCACCTTGCCTCCGTAGCGCTCGATGAGGGATTTGGCGGCATCCCTCTCCATGGACTCCATGACCCCCGTCAGCACAAACATGCAGCCCTCCAAACAGTTCTCTGCTCCCTGGAACACACACACACGATATACAGTCAGTGATTAGGAACAAGATACAGTTCAACGGGAAGATGGAGGTCAGTCTGAAGGCTGGTGTGTGTGCACGCGCGTGTGTGTGTGTGTGAGAGAGAGAGTGTTACCTGTGGGATTTCCTTGGAGCCCAGAGCTCGTGGTCCATCTCTGTTGAGGAAGTTCCTGAAAGCTGCAGAGTTGACCTTCTTCTTCTCTGCGTCCTCAGGACTCGTACTCTAATCACATTGAGAGACAGAGGACATTTACTGTGTTTTTAACTTGTGTACTCTCCATTTTTCACTTATTTTTACATTGAATATACATTGGCCCAATCCTAATCTCCCCTTAAAGGCCTCAAAACCTGAACCCTCAGGGACTGACGTCACCTGGTAAGTGGTTGAGTGTGAGAGAGTAATATAATCTCTGCTTCCATTCCTCTGATTGCATGTGCTTAATGTTCAATCTTTAACCCTTAATGTTTCTGAGTAAATGTAATATTCCAGGCTGAACACACCTGCACCGTCCTCTTTGTTTACGTCTCTATGCTTCCACTGGTAACCCCGTGTTTGACGTCACATTGCTATGAATTGTGGGTAATTTCCTTGGTCAAAGTCTGCAGAAATGCAGATTTACATAAAGGTTTCAAAATGTCTGCCAGAGAGCCTCAAACACTCGATGATCTGACAGTGGGACAGAACTAAACCCTCACGGACTCTGTGTGAACGCGCCTCAAAGTCCGTGAGTGTGGAGGTTGGGATCTGGCCGATGTGTTTGTGTGCGTTGCGTTTGCTCACCTCTGGTTTCTTGGGAGAAGGTTTAACCACGGTGGGCGCGGTTCCCGCTTTGGGAATGAACTTCTTGTCTGAGCTCGACGAAGCGAGCGGCTCCTTTTTGGGAGAGATCTTTACTTTTGTGAGCGAAACTGGCGTTTTGCCCTTCGACCCTTCGTCTCGCTCCTCGTTCTCTTTCTTCATCATGGCCAGTTTGGAGCTGGCTTTGACGGGGGTGGGGTCCTTCTTAGGAGTCGGGCCAATTGCATCCTCCGACACGCTGCCCCTTCGGGTGGTCTTTGACGGGCTGCTCTTGCTGCCAGCAGCAGAGTCTGTACTGCTCCTTCTGGGAGCTGCAGTAGCGGCTTGTTTTTCATCAGAGCCTTTACGAGCCTGGATGAGAAAACACACACACACACACACACACACACACACACACACACACACACACA